GACTGGTATGCTGAGATGGCATGGATCTGGCTGTCGAGTGTGGCCATGAGTTGGCGGGTAGTATCTGGGAGGGCTGGGGTGTGTACAGAAGCCCAAGTGGGTATATGAGGCTACACGTTACACATGAGTGCCCAGACATCATCCAGGGAGGCCACTCCCAGGTAGGGAATTCCAGACCCACTCTGTTTTGTGGGCATTTATAGTATGGTGGGGTGAGGACAGCAGATCTTGGGTAAAGGCAGTGCATGCGGTGAAGGAAAGCACTGGCCCTGGGCGTCAGACGGGCCTGGGTTACTTTCCAGGTGACGCTGGGTAAAGGAACTCCCCATCTCTGTGCCTCAGCTTCCCCGTCCATCAAATGGGAAAGCAAACACTTGTCTCCAGGGTCGTTTTGGCTGCAGAGAAGTGAGAAGTGGTCCCAGGTCACACATGTGATCAGGATGCAGTGCATGGAACTTTCACTCAGACTTCGGATGGGTGTCTGATACAAGCTCTCTGATTAGATCCTGGAAGGGGACTGCGGAGGACCGAGCCCTGCTTCCATTCAGATTCTTGGAAAGTTTTGAGTTGGGAGGTGACTATTGCCATGCAACCTGGATAGGCGGATTCCTGGCTCTTAGAGGGCAGAAGAAGTGGGTGGCAGAGAGTTAGTGCCTCATGGGAGAGCCATGCTGGTGTTATGGATGGGCTTAGGGAGACTCAGAGGAACTTGCCTGAGGTCACTCAGCAGCCAGTGGCAGGATTGAGACCAGAGGCCAGGACCCTGGGCGCAGGGCTCCCTTTCTCCCAGAGGCTGCTCCTCCTAGTAGGGCCCATCAGGAACCTGGGGTGGAGGGAACCTTGTCACCTGAAGTTCTCTAATTTCAATTCTTCTTTCTGTCCCTTTGGGGAAGGGGAACAATAAGAGTTTATCGGGCACCTATTTTGTGCCAGGTCCTATGTTAGCTCATCTCATTTAATGCCGTAACAATGCCATAAGACAGGGATTGGCGACCCATTTAAGAGAGGGACATGGAGGCTCTGAGAGGTCAGTAACCTGGCCAAGTGTCACCTTGCTGAGTGCCAAGCCGGGATTCGTTCCCAGGTCTGTGAGCACGCACAGCTCATGTTCTTCCCACTGACCCCTGGGTAACTGCCCTCTTCAGGGCTTGGTTTGGTGGGGAAAGGAAGAGGTGTTTAAGTGTCGAGCATGCACAGTGCGCCAGGCATTTTCATAGCACAAAGTGCTTTCAGGGGGTGAGGAACATGGGGCAATAGTAGGCATGAAAAGCCAGGCCCAGAGAGAGCCCAGAACGGTGAGGGCTGGGACGGTGTGTTATAGTATCTAAGAACTGTGGGCCCCATGGTCCCTGTGAAGGAGGGCAGCCTCTGGGAGGAGGGGGTCCTGGTCTCTTGTCTCAGTTCTGCCATTGGCTGCTGTGTGTCCTCAGGTGAGTTCTTCTCTGGGTCTCTATAATCCCATCTATGAGATGGGCCAGTGCAATGCAATGGCTCTCTTCAGAGCAACACAGATTGTGGGATGGAGGGGTCATTTTTCCTCGTCTGAAAGGTCCTAGGAGGCCGACTCTTTGTTATCTACCCCCCACCCAACATCCACAGCCCTCAATACCCAGATGTTTTCTGCCTCGCCTCCTTCCCTCCCACTGTGGCGGCTGCTGACCGCCATGCAACTCTGCGTGGGCCCTCCAGGCCGTGCTCCCTCTGACAGGCGACCATGGGCTCAGCTCGTGGCAAACATTCTTTTCATAGTTCCTAGAGCACAGCAAATCCAGCTGCTTAGCCAGGAATGCAGAGTCCTGTCCTGCAGCAGCAGCAGGGGTTTGGGTGAGGGAGCCCCTGGGGGTCAGACAGGAGGGGCTGAGGGGGCTTGGAGGACCCCCCATCCTCACCACCAGAACACATTGCTTCAGCTCCTGGGAGCTGTGAGGCTGTCCTCATCATCTGTGGACTCACAGCTTCGGTCTAAACTCTGGAGTCATCCACCGCTGGCTGACTAGCTGGGCGAACTTGGGCAAGTGACTTCTCTCGGAGCCTCAATGTCTTCTCTTGTAAAATAGTGTTTATAATCTAACATCACAGGGCTTTTAGGGGGTTTTCACGGTAATGATGATGCTAATAATGTAATAATAATGAACATTTATCAAATGTTCCTCTATGTCAAGCACTGCTTGAAGTCTGCTACGTGAAATTAACTCGTTTAATCCTCACAAATGCTTTATGAAGTAGGAATTGTTCCCATTTTATTGACGAAGAAGCTGAGGCACAGACGAGTGAGGTCATGTGCTCATAAGAGGTAGGGCTGGGACTAGAACGCATGAAGCTGGGCTCTTAACCCATCCTGATTTTGTAAGCAAGACTCAGCTCAGGGCCTGCTCATGGTAGGGACTCAGACAGCGGGGACTTTTTCCATGAGTCCATCGCTGGGAGAGGCCGACTATTCGCCTTATGGTCACCAGCGCCTCAGTGTGGGCAGCTGGGATGAGGAAGTGGGCCCAGGGTGCTGGCCAGCCTCCTTGGAAGCCTAGCAGCTCTTAGAAGCTCATGGGGGCTGGAGGGTACATGCGGTCCCACCCACATCTGGCCTGGGATTTAGCTGGCAGCAGGCTCTGTGCAAGGAGGCGATGTCGCCAGGGGAGGGGCTCAAGGAGGAGATTAGGAAAGGCAGCTGGGGGTGGAGGTGAAGAACAGAGTCCCATTGAAGTTGGCCCAGGCGCTGCCCTGGCACACCCACCCGCTGAGCTTCTTATTTTGTAGGACAGAGGGAGCCTTGGCCCACTGGGCCCTTGAGGCCCTTGATGGGAGCTGCCCACGCTCTTTCCAGCCTTGCCGTCCATGTTGCCACCTGGGTTGTGGCAGCACAGGTTGGGGTGGGGAAGAAGTAGGGAGAAGGACCTGTAGCTGAGGTCTCTGGGAAGCCCAAGTGTCCAGGGTTTGGCCGTTTTGTGGGGCCGGGAAAGCTCCAAAGCTCAGAACTGGACCCTGCGCTTCTAGCCCTGTAATCTCAGAGAACGGACGTTACCTCTCTGGGCCTCAGGGCACCCTTCAGAAAAACAGGACAGCAATTCCTGCCTTACCGGGTTACGGGAGCGTTTGATAAAATAATGCCCGGTGTGCACCTAGTGCTGTGTCTGGCGCATAAAATGTACTTGGGATTTAGAGACCATTATTATTAAGGGCTAACATGGGTGGAGAGGATGGGGAGCCAGCTTTAAGCTGGGCCTGGGGTCTCTCATCCTGATATTCAAGGCATTTCTCTGGCTGACCAGCCCTTCTCATCTCAGATCACCCCTATGGTAGAGAAGTTAAGAGCCCAGTCTCTGGAGCCAACAGCCTAAGTCCAAAATCGGGCTCTACTCCTCATGAGCTGTGTGACCTTGGGCCAGTTACTTAACCTCTCAGTTCCTTGGTTTCCCATCTGTAAAAAGGGAAGACAAAGGACCTACTTCACTGGATTGTTGTGAGGATTAAATGAGATAATCCACGAGAAGAGCAATGCATGGCACGTAGTAGATGCACAGTAAATGTTAGTTATGTTTAGTTAGCCCATTTGTTTGTTTATTTTTTATGTCCATCCCTGGCTTTCACACCTTCATACCCTCACACATGCTGTTGCCTGGACTGATTGCCTCTCCCCATCACCACCCAGTTAAATCCATGTTCATCCTTCAAAATTCAGATCCAACAGAACTCCCCTCCCCTCCCCAAGCCTTGTGGCAGGGAGTGGGGGCTGGGGTCAGAGAAGCTGGGGTTGAGTTGGGCGGTGAGGACCTCCCGCCCAAGCTACCTCAGCCAGGCTGGGCCCTCAGAGATCAGCCTCATAACCCACCCCTGGGGTCATGGTGTTTAGAGTGGTGGGGATGGAGACAGGGCTCAGCTGAGTTGGAGAGGAGGCCTAGGAGCCGCTGGCTTCGGCATCTGGCTGCTTGTTCAGTGAAAGACAGGGCCGGGATGTCAGAGTTTCCATGGGAGTGGGCAGAGGCGAGCAAGCAGCTGGGGGAGAGAGTGACGCGGCCAGTAGGCCTCCCTGCCAGGTGGGCTGGCTGGGTGTCCCCTCCCCATCCACCCAAGAGTCACGCCTGGACCTGGACTGCAGCCCCAGTTCCCCTGTGACTTGGACTAGGGCTTACGACAGCCTGGCATCATAGTTGATTGAGGCAGAAATGGGGACCTGGTCATTCAGGGCTCTGACCACATCACCTCCCCACTCAACAGCTTTCCATGGCTCCCCATTGCCTTCCAGAGAAACGCAAGCATGGCTGGCATTCAAGGCTCCTTATTAGGTTGCCCAGCTTTCTCCGTTCCTGCTTGTCCTCTCAACCCCACAGTGCTTCTGGATCTTCCCTGAATTTGCCAAATAGCTCCCTACTGTCAGAAATTTCTTCTCTTACTTTGTCTGCCTTTCAGATTCCCATTCACCCTTCAGGATCCAGCTCCAGTGTCCCTTCCTACATGCAGCCTTCTGGGCAAACTCAAAGGGGAGGCAATGTTCCCTGGTCTGTGTCCCCACAGCCCCGAGAGCTTTGCCAATTGTGTGGTGGCTACTTGTTTGATGCCTCCAGCTAATTAGGGCAGGGCAGGGCATGGTGCTGGACCATTGCTGTGTCCGAAGGCCCAGCCTAGGGTCCCCCACACAGTAGGAGCTTCCCCAGGCAGGAACCCTAGCCTATAGCATAGCCGCTCCAGCCCAGGCCTGATATATAGTAGGGACTTCTCTAGGATGTACACTGGCACACAGAACGGGCTTCCTCAGCCTGGGCCATAGAACAGGAGGAACTCCATTAACTCAGAGCCAGGCACCCTGGGGACATGCCTAAGTGTGCATGAAATGAATGAAGGGAGTCACATTCTGGCTTCCTGGGAGGAGAGGTTGAGGGTAAGGCCAATGTTCCAGCAGGAGCTCTTGGTAAGAAGCCCGGGGCAGGCACTGGGGTGGCTATAAGTTAGGGCAGGAGGCTTCCCGGGCTCCTGGCATCTTCCTTATTGTTTCTCTCTTTCATCCTCAGGCTTTGCCTCTGCTGGGACCTTCAGAGGCCCCTCTGACTTAAAAGGTAAGATAGATTTGGGGGTATGGTTCTCTGACGTCCCGAGCTGGATGAGCCCACTGCTGGCTGCTCTCTCTAACCTTGCTCCTTCCTGCCCTGGCGGAAGGCCCTCCACCTCCCAGGCCCAGGATGTCCAGCAGGCAGCCCCTCTGCAGGTGACCTCAGCTCCCTGCGGCCTGGGCTTTAAAATCCCGGCCCAACTCGGAAGCAGCTTTTTCTCATTTGTGAACTATTTCACCCTGGCTCCTTGGCGTGGGCTCATGTTTGCTCGGCCTGCCCTGGTGCAGTGGCCTGGCTGCGCTCCTGCCGGCCCCTTCCCTGCCCAGCCCAGCCCCTCCTGCAGCCCGCTGCTGCTGCTGCCGCCACCACGCGGGAAAGCCACGAAGGCCCAGGAATTTTGGCAGGCGTGGGAAGGCAGCGGGCGGCGGGTGGCGCTCCGGAAAAGGCTGCAAATGTGAACCAGAAGGCAAAGGATTGGCAGTGAGGAGGCCCCGCCTGGCCTGGCCTGAGGCCTGGGGGTGGCTGGGTCTGGGGGCACCCTTCAGTGTCCGGCCCTGGCCAGAAGCTCAAGGCCTTTGCTGCGAACTGAGAGTGATGGCACCAGCTGAGGCCTGAACCCCAGGAGGGAAAGCGCCAGTCCTCTGGCCACCTGCCTGCGGATACATTGTTATCCAGGGTGCTGCCCACTGCTGGACCTCATCTGAGTCATCTGCCCCCCGCCGGGCTATTCCTACCTCCCTAATTAGTTGCCTCAAGATGCTCCTCCCCAGTGGAGTAATGGGGTGTCTGGTCTCAGAGATGAGCAGAGACTGGGGGCCAGGGAGGTGGATCTAGTTGCCTGCGGGGAGGAGGTTCAGCCCCAGTCCCCTCCAGCCCAGAGCTGAGAAGGACTCTGGAAGAGCCACAAAGAAAAAGGGGTTCTATGAGAGGGCACCCTGTGGGCTTGGCTGGAGGGGGGAGATGGGTGGTCAGAGGCCTGGAGCTGGAGTTCTTGGGCTGCAGACTGTACTGAGCACCTACTGTGTGCCAAGCCCCAGTCAGGGATGAGGTGAGGGTGGGGGGAGAGCTGCCCAGGAGCAGGAGGTGTTCTGCCTGAGGGAGACTGGGAAGGCTGCATGGAAAAGGAGGCATTTGAGCTGGGTCTTAAATAAGGAATAACATGTTTGCCTGGAGAGAGACAGAAAGGACAATCAGGCAGAGATTATGCAGGTGAAGGTAGGCAGGTGGGTATAGGGAAACACTGAGAAGCTTGGGGTGTCTGGATATCAGGATCCTGGCGCTCAGGGGTGCGGTGGGCTCCTCTCACCCCCTAAATGTGGGTGTTTTCCCCAAGGGTGAGTCCATGGCCCTCAACCAGGCTGCAGCAACTCTGTCAGTGAAGCCCTATTTTTATCTCCAGCCTCTGTCTCTCTCTCTCAAGTTCCAAACCCATAGGTTCTCTGCCTCTTGAACATCCCCCCAGGACCGCCCCCTCTCCCCTGCATCTCCCTTGCCCTGACGTTTGCTCTGCTCTCAGCTTGGTATATTCCGCCATCACCTGCCCCTCAGGGCTCATTGAACTCTGACCTGTCCTTCAAGCCTTCTTCCAATGCTTCCAAATTGAGGTCCCGTGGGGTCTGGGAGCCTAACCTGCAAGGGTGAGGGTGTGGGGACCCTTGACGGAACTGAAGCCTGGCGGGTCAGGGTCAGCACTCCACTCAGGTCCTGCCAGCTGCCTGGATGATGAGGCGGCCCCCAGGCAGCCGTGCTCCAGCCTGCCACCCCCTCACCCCCCAACTCCCAGGTTCCAGGTGGCTCTTTGGCTTTGGAGCAGTTTTCACACCTGCACATTTAAATCTGAGGGAGTCAGAGTCTCATATTGATCCTGTAGGACAGAGAGCTCAGCTCAAGGCACTGGACCCCACAAGTCCCCATGCAGACCTTGTGGGGCTGCTCAGGGATTGTCCATGGGGGTCAAACACAGACCTGAAGTTAGTTAGCATGAGTGTCAAGGCCATAAGTGCTGGCCTTCTGGAGGGTTCCATCAAGTGACCCATAGCTAGAGATTCACAGATCCCTGTCTGGATCTCGGTACAAGGATATAGGAGAGAGAAAGATAACACAGGGTCACAGAGATGGACAGACACATGTGATAGTGACACAGAGGTAGGAGGAGAGACACACCACGGGGTGCCTGAGATACATAGGCAGGTGTGGAGTTGGATTTAGTGACACAGAGACAGAAAGGAAGGGGCAGAAAGGAAGATGGGCTCCCACATGGCTCCCACAAGGAGCTGATCTCCAGTCTTTAGACAGGGTGCCACCCCCAGTCGTGATCTCAGGGCTTTGGGGGGCTCACCATCAATCTTTCCACCCTCATCTTAGTTGGTTCACATCCTGTTGAGTCTAAAGTATGCACCCTCCTCCAGGAAACCACGTGAGGATAACATGGAATTTATCGTATTGGTACTAGGGAGTCACTGGAGAATCCAGAGGCGGGGAGGGCCATGGGCAGAGCTGTGCCAAAGTGTGGTCCACAGACAGGCAGCAGCAACAGCAGCACCTGGGAGCTTGTTATAGATGCAGATGTTGGGCCCTACCCCACATCTACTGAATCAGTTTCCCTGCAGGGGCTTAAGAATCTGGTTTTTTTTTTTTTAAAAGATTTTATCGGGGAAGGGAACAGTGTTGGAGAATTGGGGAAGGGGAACATTGTGTTTTTCCAGGACCCATCAGCTCCAAGTCAAGTTGTTGTCTTTCAGTCTTAGTTGTGGAGCGCACAAGCTCAGCTCCAAGTCCAGTCGATGCTTTCAAACTAGTTGCGGGGGTGGGGAGGGCAGCCCACCATTCCATGCAGGAGTCAAACTGGCAACCTTTTTGTTAAGAGCACATGCTCTCACCAGCTGAGCCATCCGGCTGCCCATCGGCAGCTCAACAGCAGCTCACTGGCCCATGTGGGAATTGAACCGGCAACGCTGTTGCTCAGAGCTAGCGCTCTAACCAACTGAGCCACTGGGCCAGGCCAAGAACCTGTGTTTTAAAACACTACCTGATGCACATTGAAGTTTAAGAAGTACTACTGCAGTATTTATAGGATGTATTGAGGAAAACAGAGAAGCTGAGAGTGAGGGATGGGAGAGAGGCTATTATGATAACCCAGGCGAGGTTTTAGCAATTTAATTTAACAAACCTTTGCTGAGTGGCTGGGATGTGCCAGACTCTGGGCTGTCTGTCGGGAGAGTAGAAGGTCTGTATTAGGGCAGAAAGTATAGGGAAGGAACAGAAGTGAGAGAAGTAGAGGAGACTGAGTTCACAAGATTGGATTGGGGGTTTGAGGGTAAAGGAATAGGGCTGTCATGTACAGTTGTGCAGGTTGGCTACTGAACAAGGGCACCCAGGAAAGGCAATGAGTAAGGCCTGAGTTGGATGAAAGGAGGGGTTGCCTTTTTGCATTGTGCTAAGGCATTACATAGGCTAGAGTGACTACTGCCTTATAAGGGAGGAAGGGTCAGAAGTGATGTCCAGATTTCTGGCCTTGGCACCTGGGAGTTGGGGAGAAGCAAGTAATGGGGGAGAAGGTAATGACAGCAGTTTGAGTGGAGGTATCTAAGGGCAAGCCAGGAGAAAATGCTTAGCTCATAATCGAACACAAGGGCCTGGGGCTCAGGAGAGAAGTCGTAGCTGGAGACAGATGTGGGCGTCCTTGGTGATGGGATGGGATTGGTGAGACCTGAAAACTGCAGGAGAAACATCCAGAAAGAAGAGGTGAGGCCTGAGCCAGTGACTTGGGGCAAGCTTGGGTCTGCAGAGTGGGCAGAAGAAGGGAACAGAGAGGAATCGGAGGAGGAACCTTTATAGCAGCGGTTCTCAACCTTCCTAATGCTGCGACCCCTTAATACAGTTCCTCATGTTGTGGTGACCCCTCAACCATAAAATTATTTTCGTTGCTACTCTATAACTGTAATTTTGCTTACAGTTTTGATTTGTTATGAATCATAATGTAAATATCTTTTTGTTTTCCGATGGTTTTAGGTGACCCCTGTGAAAGGGTCTTTCGACCCCCAAAGGGGTCGTGACCCACAGGTTGAGAACCGCTGCTTTATAGGAAGGAAGAGAGCAGAGTCACAGGGCGAATTCAGTGCTAGAGAGAAGGTAGCAAGAGGGTGGGGAGTGAACAGTGAGTGCGGGTGAGGGGTAAAGACAGTTCTTTCAAAAAGCTTGGCTGAGAAGGGCTGGAGAGAGATAAGGGTGGCTGGAAGTGGGGTTAGGCCTGTGTGGACATGGGATGGAGAGGCTGGAGACTGGGTGGATGGGGGAAGCGTCCATAGTGAGATGCCCCTGAGGAAGGGGTGGGGAAGAGTCTGAGCCTTGAGTAGGAAACAGGACCCCCTTTCACCTGAAACTCAGGAAAGAAGAACAGGGAAGGGCTTCCCAATTTCCACAAGCTGAGAGAGAGGTGGGGGGAGTAGAGGCTCAGGAACCCTGGAGAAGTCTGGAGCTGCCCAGCTGGGCAGTTGGGGGTGGGCATCGTGCCCAGTGTCATGCCCTCTGCTCCTCTCCCAGCTCCATCCTAGCTCTGAGCAGGCTGTGAGACCCCCAGGTCAGTTTCATCTCAAGAGCAGTCAGAGGAAAGGCCTAGAAGGCCAGAAAATTGACTTCAGGGAACTTTCACAAGGTCTTGGCCTTTGGCGGCACTTAAGTGACTTGAGTTTTTTAAGGGTTGGAAATGTTACTTTGCAGCAGGAGGAGCTGAGGTTGGGCTGAGGGGTCAACTTCCTGGCCATCGGGGTAGCAGCACAGGGCAGCACACTTGAGGGAGCTGGTGGCTCAGATCCTCTCAACTAATCCTTTCACAGATGAGGGCACTGAGGTTCAGAGAGGTTAATTCCTTTGCCCAAGATCACCCAGTTGGTAGGTGGCTGTGCTGGAATGGGAGTCCAGGAGCTGCTG